ACATATATATATATATGCATATGTATCTATTTGCAGCTTTGTGTTAAGTTTCCTATATGGTGGAATTTAGAAATGTGAAGAATTGTGTTGTTGCTTTAAATTTTATTATTTTTGGCTTTCATTTTCTGGGGAATGTACAGTAAAGCCCTAGGTATAGTGTATGACTTAGCAGGCATGAAAAGCTATTTTAATGACTGTCAGATTTATTTCCCAAGTTCCTATACTTTTGTAATCCCAATCAATAGCTATTTTTTAAAAGATCCCATTGACTTTTCTTGCACTTCTTTTTTCTTTTCACTCTTCCCATTTCAGAGGAGGCTGGTAAAATCACTTGAAGATCTTTGCTCGCAATATGATCTGACAGTTAGAAGTTCTACTGGTGATATTATACAGTTTATTTATGGAGGAGATGGCTTGGATCCTGCAGCCATGGAAGGGAAGGATGAACCGCTAGAATTCAAGCGAGTTCTAGACAATATCAGAGTAAGGATTACTGAAATCTTTTTTGGAAGATGTGAAAAAACTATTAAGCACGTAGGAGGAAGTAATAAATTACGGGTAGAACTGTTCAGTTGAAGAATGTGCTTTTAAATTACCTTTTTGAGTGGTCCTGGTCAGTCTCTTAGCATGTGTATGCTGAGATTTATAGATATTTTTATGTTAGAACAGAGCAACTGGGACCAAACTGTGTATAAGATGTGAAAAAGAGAATTTTATTCTGTGCTTTAGACATAGTTCTAGGGCCTAATACTCAACTCACTAGATAAATTAATACTGGCTTAGTTGGGTACTTACTACACTAAGTAATCCCTTATTAAATCGAGACATGCATGTTCTTTGTGTTGAACTGCTTCTTAGGTCAGAGGCCTGATGTGTTGTTGAATAACTCTGGTCACACTGTGATGTTTGTAGAATGGTATTGTTTGGCTTTGATTTTGTGGATTGGTTGGTTGTTGTTTGTTCTTCCCCACTGCTCCAAGATAAAAGCCTTTTGCTGAAATGACTGTTCAGATTTCTGTAATTCTCTGCGTGTAATAAGTTGATAGAATTAGGAATGTTTGTGTGTGTATCTTTAGATTTACATAAGTAAATAGAAGTGTATGTGGACCTTCTCTTCTCAATAGTCTGGTATTATATAGTAAAAAAAAAAACAAACCACCCCCAAAACCTCCCAAGAACCTAAACAAACAAACAAACAAACTCACCAAAAAAAACCCCACGAAAATAAAAAATAAGGAATGCTGTTAATCAGTTGTGTCTATATTCTGTGTCTTTGCAATAAAGTTTTTGTGCATAAGTTTTATGTGAAAAAGTATTTTTTTTTCCTGAAGGCTGTGTATCCATGCCGAAGTGAACCAGCCCTTAGTAAAAATGATTTGGTGTTAACATCTGAGTCCATCATGAAGAAGAATGAATTTCTTTGCTGCCGAGACAGTTTTCTGCAGGTAATTTTCTCACTTCCTTATGACGTTGTGATTTACTTTTTCCTTATTAATCAAGGAAATGAACTTAAATGGTTTCATCAATCTGTAGGAGTAATAGCTGAATTCTATGCATTAGTAGCAGGAGTAGTATGTTCAGTATATTCATGTATGTTTACAGGGCTGGGAGGAAGGACTAGTAATTTTATTTTCTTATTATAGAAGTTTTTCACATCTACCACAGGAACTCTAGGAATGAGAGAAAAATCCTAGTGATTTTTTGAGTAGAAGGTGCTGCTGACCTGAGAGATCTTGCTGGAATTTCTCTCTGTAGAAAGATGGCACAGTAATTAGACATCAGAAATTAAATAAAACTTATTGTCTATGAGCAAGAAACTACTAGAGCTGAGTCTCATACACTATTCTTTTTGTGTATGTTTTCATATTATCAAGTTTCTGAATAACTGGGTTTGCTCCTTTGCTTTGTTTTCCTGTAACAGAAACACCAGCTCTACACTTACACCTATTTACCTTGCTTTCCGATGATATTAACCCAGCAAAAAAATTCTGTCATGTGAAGTGTTTTGCTGCTCAGGCCTTACCTTCTGAGGAATACTTAGATATCTTTTAAGGATGGTGAATGTTCACATGAGTGCTTGCACCTTGAATTGTAAAAGTCAATTTGTTTGAAAGAGTATTAAGCAATTTTAATATTCATGAGAGCAGCCACACTTAAGACTACTTTGGAAGACAGTGATAAAAACTGTAGAATTAAGCTGCCTGTGGACACATAAAGCTATTACCTTGATGAACCTTCTGATTACTGTTAGTGATGAGAACAGCATAAATTTAGTGCTTTTGAAGGGTTTCTTTTTAATAATTCAGAGTGCTTCAAAGCAGAGAGTGACAAAACTAGTAAGCAGTTGTTTATAAACCTGATTTGCAATTCCGCTGCTAGAGCAGAGTTGGCAAAATAATTATATCCATCCTTGAAATATGCTGTAAATCTCTGCTGCATCTCTGAAGGAAAAAAAATATGCAATATACTAATATCAGAGTTTGAAGATGAAGCTGTTCTTTGAGGTGTACATCTTTGTAATAAACTCAGGAAAATCTAAATAATTGCTAATAATTTCAGAAGCACAGATATGGCTGCATCACCTTAAAGGAATTAGTTTAACTTAAATATCTTGAGTTTTGGATACTGTTACATTTTCTTCTTTCTTTTTTTTTTTCTGTTCATCCTTGAAGACATTAACTGAGACAGGTTATGAAAAGTATAATGAGGTAATTGTAGCATGTGTGTGCACTGCGTGAGCATTAATGTTAGTGCTTTTTAGCTAAAGATGCGTGCATAGTGCTAAAGTAACTGATTAGAATATATCCATTACTGCTTGTTAAATTATAATGTAGGTCTTCATCACAACAATTTATCCCAATTCCTTTTTAACAGTGAAAACTATGACACATTAATTAATATCCATAGTTAAATTTGAGGATTTTGAGGAAGTACGTGACTTTCCTTTCTAAAATTCGTTCTTTCAACCTTTAGGGATATTAGCATGTTTTTCTTATGTTTTCCTAACCTATCCTCCACTTTTCCCTTCCAGAGTATATATATATCTATCTATAATGGGCTTATCCTCTTTTGTCCAGAAAACAGTATATCTAAATAGCCTTTTTCAAACTGACTAGCGTTCATCCTGCCCACACTCTGCCCTCACTGGAAGGAATTCAGCCAATGGAAATGCAGTTTTTTGGCTTGCACAGTTTCAATTGTGTTAATATTTTAACGTATTTGAGTATATTAAGATACAGTTGAAGAGAAAATTTAGGTTTTCTTTTAATTGGAATTGGGAGAATCTTTAGAAACCCTCACAATTGAAAACAATAATTTTTCTGTGTTTCTTTGGAGACGATAGAATATGAGTATTGGGGACTGTGGTGCAAACATGGAAAATGGTCAGCACACAGCCAGTCCATGCCAGGAGATGTAGAGCTGACCTAATGGGACTGCCTGAATTTGAATGGATTGTCAGTGATTCATGTGGGATTGTCTGTACCACTCTGCATTTCAGGGGGCTTCTTAAACTGTGAGGATACTTACATAAGCAGTGCCTCACGTATATAAATGATCCCACTAGCTTAAGTGCTGGGAAACGTAATGCAACCACCAGAGTGGCTAGGCTTTGTACCCTGGACTGCTACTTTGACTGAACAGCAGCTCTGTAGGAGCTGACAAGGCCCACATTGAGCCAGAGCTTACTGAGTCAGTTTCTGGTGCCTTTTTGTTAAACAGGTCCAGACTAAAAGACTTGAAAGATTTAGACTATCTGAAAGAACCAACAGTTTCTTGAGCTCCCTCTGGAAGTTACATAGTTGTCCTCATAGAGGACAGTGTTGCACTGAAGATGGTAAATCCATAGAGAGAGACAGACTCAGCAAAGAGTGAGCTACATTTTCTTTGTAGCATAAATTGATCCATAGTTTTGATAAACTGCCAAGAGATAATTGAATGCTGAGAGGAATGGGTTGTTTCCTCTTACAGTTCCTGTGCATGAATAAAAATTTTGACTATGAAAAATTAATCTCTTCAGAGATTTATTTCTCACCTTTTTGGCTCTAGTGCATGGAAATAATATATCATTTGATTACTTTATTTTTACAATTCAGAATGATACTTAACAATGTAGTATGCTGGAGATTTTCTTTTTTTCTTAAGTATTTTTGTACTCAGGGACTGTCAAAGAGGAAAGGTTGGCAATACGTTGTTTGCCATAATGCTGTTTGCAGTTCAATGCTGTTCTGGTCATAGGTCTGCCATATTGTAGACTTTCTGCATATGGCCACATGACTAAATCTTCAGCCAGTCTGAAAACTTCTTTTGAGAAGTTGGTATTGGTGTGGTGGTTATTACTGTCCCTGGGTTTCATGTAAGTAGGTGAAAATTTAAGAGAACTTAGTCTTCTGTGTTCTGGAAGGAGAAGTTAGTGTTATACCTCCTGCCTTCTTCCCCTTCCAATCCTCCTTTTCTGCCCCTCCACAAAAGAAGCATCTTTCAAGATTAGAATTACTTTAAAAATCTCTCCTTAATGTTTTTTTATTTTAGTTTGGTTTTTTTCCTCCAGATCTAGTGTTCTGGGTGATCTACTGCAAGTCCTGCAATATTTCCTTTTTTTAATGCACTCTTACTAAAAATATTAGTTTTTCTAATACCACATTATTACTTAACACTTATTTTAAAAAATAAAATTATCAATCCTATGCAAAGATTTCAGGGTCAAAAACCTTTAAAATGGCAGAGTATTTAATCTGTGAATTAATATGACTTACTGCAGGGCAGAAATGTATCAATGCATCCTGGTGTCATCCAGGTGAGGAAACAACTCGAAGCATCCATTCTAGCAGCACGCTTCTGTTGTTGGTTCTTTAATTTGACCTTTGTTTTAGTATTCACATAAAATAATGTATGGTCTGAAAATACCTTGAATACCAGTAAAAATGTTGTGATTTTGAGAATCTGAGGATTCTGCTAGGATGTAATAGAAAGGTTTTGTTAATGATTTGTGAGTTCAGTTGTAAATAATACTAATAATAAGAAGAATTTAAAAGGCAGTTACTCATATATTTACTCAATTTTGCAAGTAATTTTCAGTGCCCAGCTACTGCAGTGGTTGGAAAAAATCCCGTGCTGAGTGAAGAAGAGGTGATGATATCATCCTGGTTGTCAGGCAGGACTAATGGGGTCAAAAGGGTTTAAAAGAACTCTAGAAGTCAAACTATTCACTCCTCATGGAGGCTTTCTTAAATCATTGTTGAAGTAGGTGAGAAAGATTTCCTCTTGCATTTTGTTCATATTTTGATAACACTGTCATGGTAATGACTTGCACTGAGTCTACTCTTACAGAAGAGCTTATTTGTGGTCCTCTAATTTCATCACTTCAAGTGTACGTATCTACGTCCATAGTGATGTTTAAACGTCCACCCAGATGATGTTTAATTGAAATGTTGGATATTTTTCTGACAGTAACAATTTATGTTAGAGTGAAAACTGCTAGAACTACTTTTGGGTAACCTGATAAGACAGTGAAAGACTTACGTACTACTATATGTTAAATGCAATTATCTGCAAGACCTCTCCACAGCACAGTGCAGTTATATGTACTACTGTCCTTGTTTAGGCCCAGTGCATAACTGAGCACCACGATGACCCCAAAAGGGCTAGTCAAAATAAGAACTGGGAGGACTTCTCACCACTTAAACAGGTCGCAGGCAAAAGACAGACTCATAATAAGGAATAAAAACAAAACAATTTTAATTTGTTACCAACATCAGAGTAGAACAATGGGAGATACAACCAGATCTTAAAGTCAAAAAACACCTTCCCCCCACGCCTCCCTTCTTTCCGGGCTCAGCTTTTGTTCTCAGTTTCTTCACCTCCCTCCTCCCCCTTTGCCTTGGGGCACAGGGGGATGGGAGTGCGGTTTTCACGCATGTGCTCCTCAGGAGTAGGAATACTCAGCCGAGTGTCTCTCTCTGCTTCCACATGGCCCCCCACTTTCCATAGGGGAAAATGTCCTCAAAAGTCCCATATGGGTCTACCCACAGCTGCAGTTTCCCTCACACACAAACTGCTCCAGCACACACTGCCCGGAGTCGTGGCTTTTTCCCCGGGCCCAGCCACTGCTCCCGGGGCCCTGCCCCACCAGTGAACTCTACGGGCTGCAGGCCAGTCCACCTGGCTCTCGCCACGGGTTGCAAAGGGGGAATGTGGGTTCTGCGTCCTCCTCCTCCCTCTCTTTTCTTTCCTTCAACCGACCTTGGTGTTCTTCAAAGTTGTTCTTCTCAGACCCCACTCTTTTCTCTGCTGCAGGTCTCTTCTGATGGTTCTAGAGATCCTAGCTCTCTCTCTTTTTTTTGGGATGAAGCTGCAGCAGGTCTTAAGCTTAAGTTGTGGTCGGGGCTGGCCAAGCCCAGCTGGGCAAGACCAGGGCCGCACCACTCACACCTGGGACCACACTGGTCAGGGCGGGTGCCAGAGAGTGAGGCATGCCCTGCATCACCCTTAAATACATGAATTTGCAGGGGCGCTGATTGGCTTGGCCCTGGTCAGAGGTGGGTCTGACAAAGGAAAAGGAGGAGCTTTTCAGGTAGCTTCTTGAAAGGGCTATCTCCATAGCCCTTCCCCCATTACCAAAGACACAACCAAAAACCCCTCACAGAAAACCCAATACAACTACATTAGGTAGAGACTGACATGTATTTATCAATTTAAAGGTTTTTCCTGCTCTGGCAAAGGGGTTGGACTAGATGATCTTTCAAGGTCCCTTCCAACTCCTAAGATTCTGTGATTCCGTGATTCCACCCAAATAAAGTACATCTTGAATCTTGAAATCTATCTAGCAGATGTCCTTTGTGTACTTCCTCTCTTTCCACAGTCTTTCCATTTTGAGTTATTTTGAATACTGAGAAATGAGTGAGAACGTGTGTCAGTATACACAGAAAATAAGAATGTTGAGATTTTTTTTATTATTATTTTTTGATGGTAGAACCAGTTTCGGTAAGTGGTAGGACGGAAGGATCAACCAAAGTCCAATCTCTTAAATTTTCAGTGTGCGCTCAGGAAGGATGCTTTTATTCAGTGTGGACCATATTCCTCATGTACTGCTACTAATTTGTGGTCACACAAGAGTGAATCTGGTTTGCTAAATTCTAGTGTATGTCTGTGTGTAAGTTTTGATGTTCCTCTCTTCATATTGTGCATTGTTAATTTATTACTGTAAACATACCATTTGGAGCTCTAAGCAAATAACTTACTGCTGAACACTTCAATATGAGGAACATGTCTTTGCTTACTGTTGTTTTAATGTAATTTCAGGAAATTAAAAAATTCATCAAAGGGGTTTCTGAGAAGATAAAAAAAACTAGGGACAAGTATGGCATTAATGACAACGGCACAACAGAGGTAAATATTTGCAATGAACTTATTATGTAGCTATGTTAAATCTTCATAAGCTATTGTTTTTCCAACTGTTCTGTTCTCTCTTCAGCCACGAGTTTTATATCAGTTGGATAGGATTACTCCAACACAGCTAGAGAAGTTTCTAGAGACTTGTAGGGACAAATATATGAGGTAAGTCCTTAGTCTGTTACGTTCTCTCAGTTTATCCTACCCACCCCCAATTCAGTATTTATTGCATTGTTTGCAATCTAGGAGTGTATTTTGTTATTTTTACTGTGTGTTGGTTCTGCTGTGAATGTAGTACAAAAAAAGAATAAGAAACACTTGCCTTAATGATATAAATATTGCCAAAGGTAGACTGCAAAAAAAAAAAAAAAAGCATTGCTACCTGCAGGTGGGCTTGTGAAGGCAGACATGTTCCCTTCCTCCCCATCTTGCAGGAGGTTGTTCCAAATCTCCAAAGAGTCCATGCAAAATGAATAGATTGGTTTTAAATCCATGTGAATTTTTATGTTTATTCTTGATCTACACAGTTTGTAAAGAGTTATGTCAGACTTCGTGCTAACATGTTCTTGAATCTGTTATGCACTTGTTTGTTTTTCTTTGTTTCCAGCAAGACAGTGATAGTGTGTATGTTTTCATCTCTTATTATCCAGTGAGAGTTGTTTCATTTGTGTAGGCTCCTTAGATTTGTTCGTAGGTTTGCAGCCATTGGTGACATCTGATTTGTGGCCTCATGCTTAGCTGCATCAATTGTTTACTAGTATTTTTTCTTTCTCAAGAAAACTCATTTATATGTTAAAATCTTAACTATTTTAAAGCAGTTACGTTTTCCACTTAATGGGTTTTTTTCAGGATTACTTGCTTATGTTTGTCGTACATATTATTAAATGTGAATTGCCTATTTTACTGTAGCACAGTGTATTATGCTGATCTGACAACTGAAAGATAGTACCCTTGGAAAGGCTCTAATTGAACAAAATTGTAGGGGAGAAAGAATGTAAACTACTTCTCATTTCTTATTTTGAGTTTGCATAGCATAGTGTCTTTCATTTTTTGCCCTGTAAGGACAATTAGTTCTCCAAGTATATAAGTTTTAGAATGGGTTAAATGTGGGAATGAGCCCATTATGTACATAACTTGAAGGGCAAGTAGGTCATCAGTATAGGGCTTTTGAATAAAATGAGAACAAGAAGGCATTAATGTCTGGATTTTGTTCTGATTAAAAAGTAATCTGCATAATAATTTCTTAAAGAAGACTTAATAAAGGTCCCTCATGCTTAAACATATGAAGGGGAGTTTTGGAAATATTAGTGTATGGGATTTACCTGAATAGGGAATCTTGAATCTACTGCTTGATGCTTAGGAAGAAGGCGGCAAGTGTTTTGTGTTTGGTTATGAATCTTAAACTGCATCTGTGAATGCCTGTATGACAGGGCATCTTCTTTCCTCACATGAGATCAGGGGCTTGAGTATTGGTGACCTTTTGACCTCTCTTCTGTTAGTTAATTAATTAAAAAAAACCCCACAAAACAGATTTCTCATTTATCTACCCAAATAGTTTGTCTTTGCTTGCTCAGGATTTTACGCCTGTTTGAGTTCTATGTCTCCTTCTGTGTTTTTTTAATGTGTGAATTTATTTATCAGGGCACAGATGGAACCTGGTTCTGCAGTAGGAGCTCTTTGTGCACAGAGTATTGGTGAGCCTGGCACACAGATGACTCTGAAGACTTTCCATTTTGCTGGCGTTGCTTCAATGAACATTACTTTGGGTGTGCCAAGAATCAAAGAAATCATTAATGCTTCAAAGGCTATTAGGTACTAATGTTTTGTTTTGTTTTTTTTCCCTTTACTGAAGTGAAACCTGATTAATAAATTTGCAGTATGTGGTAGCATTTCCCTGTAATACACTAGACCACATTAAATTTGTGGAATACACAAACAAGAAAAATCTAATGTCTTTTCAGCTAAGTGATACTTAGAGTCAGAGAAGACACAAGTTGTATTTTTCTGAAAATCAAATGACATAAAGTGGTTACTTACAAAGTTTAACATTCTGTTAAGTGTGTCTCTCATATTGTGAAACTTTCTGATGTTTAGTGGTAGTTGAAGCATACATATTCCTAGCCATACTTAAGTAATACTAGATTAGTGTATACCATGAAAATAGTCACTAGTTGTTGTGTTGTAATCTCCAGTGTTTATACTTGGTTTTGCCAGCTGAAGTACACAAACAATAATTTTCTTAAATGTGCCTGAGGAAGTTGAAGGTCTCTGTTTTATTAAATACTACCTAGATGATGAGATAGGTTCCATAATGCAAGCTGTAATGCAAATTGCCATTTGTAACCTAGCTGAGCTATTTCATAACTGGGTTTCTTGTGTGTTTATTCTTTGTAGTACCCCTATTATAACAGCACAGTTGGACAAAGATGATGATCCCGATTTTGCCCGTCTGGTTAAGGGAAGAATTGAGAAAACTTTATTAGGAGAGGTAGGAAAAAAATGCACCATTGCCAATACTTTAAATGTAAATATTATCCAATTGCTGTGGGGCATTTTATCCATTTTCAGATGCTGACTGTTTTGTTCTTATCTCTTAAAGATTTCAGAATACATTGAGGAAGTGTTTCTTCCAGATGATTGTTTCATCCTAGTGAAGCTATCTTTAGAGCGCATTAGACTACTGAGATTAGAGGTGAGTTGTTCAGTTCTTACGTATAATATACCTCGGGTAAGTTCCAAAGAGTCTCTTAATCCTGTCTTAGAAGAAGAAATCAGGCCAGTGGAAGATAAAAAAAGAAAGTGAATGAAGGATGTCCTGTGACTGCATTACATCTGGAAATTTTTTTCAGTCTTTTTTTCCTTTGTGAAGTAGGTAATTTTTCCTTGACTTGGAAATAAGAATATACATTTATTTCTTGGTGTCTTGCTAAATACAAGGATGGCATTTCTGTCTGTTAGTTAACATATAGGCTGGTACCCTCAGCAGAGGATAGTATTTCATGCAATTTATAAGAGTAAAAATTTTTGTTTATTGTTCTACAGTCTACTTTTTTATATTCTGTTGAAGGACTGCTGCATGTATTTGAGCAGATATATTTATGTTGAGAGAGATACCCTAATGTTTTCTGGCTGACTTTTGCCACAGGTGAATGCAGAGACTGTGCGCTACTCTATTTGCATATCCAAACTCAGAGTAAAGCCTGGGGATGTTGCTGTCCATGGAGAAGCAGTTGTATGTGTGACTCCTCGTGAAAATAGCAAGAGTTCAATGTATTATGTATTGCAGTCCCTGAAGGAAGAACTACCAAAGGTAAAAACAAAGGCTGTCTCATGCTTCTGTGGGAGGTGATCAGTGATAATTGGGGTTCCATGGTGGGAAGACAGAATTATTCTTGTCAGTATTGACAAAGAAGGTAATCAGCGTACATAACTCTTGGATTGTGATGCTACTGCTTTACAGATGAAACTAAGCCTCAGTTACTAATCTTTAAAATAAAAATGATTTCTTGATACTTTCCTTACATTTACTGAAGCATTTTGAGTGCAGCAGTTGTATGAAATAGTTACATGTTCTTCCAGCTGCATCCAGAATTGAACCACATGACAATATCTGACATTTTTGCCACTTTCTGTGAGGAAAGACTGTCTACTTTGGATTTAAAAAATATTGATAAGTGCATCTTATTATTGGCAGGATGCCCTTTCAGTTGTGGGGTTCTACCACTGTCCAGAGACCCAGGCTTGAGTGTGAGGATAACTGGCATAAAATATAAAATACAGATAGTGATTAAAGTTTATAATACAGTGTGAATGTCACATTTACACTAGTGTATTTAAAAGCAGGAAATCTTATTTCATATATTTTTAAATTAAGCATTTACTTCAAAGACTGGGGCTTCTAAATAGGTTTGAATGCTGATAACGGTTACCCTTTTATACTGCATTACTGTACACGTCAAAGTTACTAGGTTTTTTTGTTCTGTTAAGGTTGTAGTGCAAGGTATACCAGAGGTTTCCCGAGCTGTCATTCATATCGATGAACAAAGTGGAAAGGAAAAATATAAACTTCTAGTTGAAGGTGATAATCTGCGAGCTGTTATGGCTACTCACGGAGTGAAAGGAACAAAAACATCCTCTAACAACACTTACGAGGTAATGTTCAAATGGGTACTGTGGGCTTTTCCCATAGTATTTTTATTGCAAGTGCTTGTTTGTGCTCAGATGCAGCAGTTGATACCTAATCAAGCTTGATTTCACTAATAGTTGTCAGAATGCATTAACACAAGAGAATAATTCAACTGGCAGCACTGTGCATTTCAAAGAAGTTTTTTCTAAAAATATTTTTAAAGTGGAGAAATGCGAAAGGGTAGTAATATAAATGGACACCATCTGACATCAGATGGTGTTTGTTCCAGGAATATACTTGCTCCAAGCATTTGGTTCTTCATTAATCTAACAATCTCTTGTGTAGGTAGAGAAGACACTAGGAATTGAAGCTGCTCGGACAACCATTATCAATGAGATTCAGTATACAATGGTGAACCATGGTATGAGCATTGACAGGAGACATGTTATGTTGCTGTCTGACCTAATGACGTACAAGGTTTGTACTCTGCTTTTTCTAAATGTTACATGGGCCTGTTTGTACGAATTAATTTTACCACGTTTGAGAAGGAGGGGTGAGCTAGGGAGTTGGAAGTCAGTTATAGGTTTAAAGAATTTTAAGTTATATTGACCAAATACTGTTATTTGTATATCAAACAAAATGCTTAATTAATGTAGTTCTTGGAGGTAGGAGGGAGATGGTCTATTTTGACTGAAAACAAGTTGATATAATGAGTAGGAAATCATAATTTTATATTGGAAATAGGAATCCTAAAAGTTGTGGTATGAAAATACACTGTTTGGGTAACCATGCATGCAATTTAAGGCTTGCTGTGCAGAAAACCACAACGGGTGTGGTTCATAGCAGCTGCACCATATATGAGAGTCAAAGGATACAGACGTTACAAATGGAATCAGATTACATGTAGAGTATGAACAGTCTTCCAGAACTTCTTAGTAGAAAATTGTATCTGTTCTTTATTGATTGACTTTCTTTCCTTCACACTTTTTAGATTTGAGTACACTTAGTGAAGTAAGATTTTCCACTTTGCCTGCCAGAGTGCAAAGGTTTAATTTGGGTAAAACAGATGAAGGAGTTCTGACTTCTCCCAAAACGGTAGGGCTTTGTTGTACTGAGCTGCAGCAGTCCCCAGGGATGGCCATGTAGTGCTGCAGCACAATAGTGGAAAAGGGCATCAGAGTGCAGTGTTTTACACTTGTTGGGCTCCTAGCATGCACTCTTTTGTCTGTACTTCTTACTTGTGCTTCTGAACACAGTTGGTTATAATCAGGATGTTTGTTAGAAACAGAGGCAGAAATAAACCAAGTTAGTTTTAAAAGCTAATTACTTCTTTTCTGGAGAGTGAAAAAATGAAGATTTAACATCTGTAATTTACTGACAGCTGAAGTCAGATTTAGCAGTAGACAATAGGCAGTAGCTTCAGCATAGTGTTCTCAGAGACCCACTGAGTTTTGTAGCTCCACAATTAGTTTATAATTCTGTGTTTTACCTTATGGCCATGTTTCTTTCTTTCCAGTATTCATGCTTAAAAAAAATATATATTAACTTTCAGTAACAACTTTTGTTACGTATGAAACTTCTCGTTCTACTTAAATATTGATTACCGCCAAACTGTTAACCTTCAGGATGCTTAACTGTGAAGCAGCATATTACAACAATGCTATGTTGTCAATAGTAATCTTTTTATTTACTACTCATTTCACATGCTTATTAGGATAAAAACTACATTTCTCTTGTTCACTTGATTTGCTGCTTTAGCAAACATAACTGACTTCCAGCCACTATTGTGACAGTTTTTCTTTGGGTTTTTCCATCAATTAAGGGTGAAGTGCTGGGCATTACTAGGTTTGGACTGGCAAAAATGAAGGAAAGTGTGTTGATGCTGGCTTCATTTGAAAAGACTGCAGACCATCTCTTTGATGCTGCCTACTTTGGACAGAAGGATTCAGTTTGTGGTAGGTATTGCGAATTCTGTTGCAATTTTTGATCGTGACCCAGCATCTGTAAACCTCTTCAAAGAATTGGATTTTTGCCCTTGTTAAGCTCTTGGTTCAGCTTATGTGTCAAAAACTTCAAGTCTGAGGCTGATCAAATACTGATCCTAGAAGTTTGGTGGATGTTTCTCTACTACTAATCTCAATCAGAGATCTTGAATGTTGTATGTTTCTTAAAATAGACTTTTAGAAATTTGGGTTTACTTCTCATTACATAGCTCAGTGAAATACCAGGAAATTTGTCCTACTATCAGTAGTTCTATTTTTTCAGTTGTGAAAGTTTGTGTGTCTTCATGTAGAGCTGATTAAGGAATCTAGTACCCCATTTGGTATTCATTTGGAGTTGCTGGGTGCTAATGAAGTATAAAAATATTAATGTATTATGTTAACATTTACTAGTTTGTGTGTATTTCTAGGTGGTCTTAGAAAGTGTCATCAATTTCAAACAGTGCTATGTAGACTGTACTTTCTGAATTGCTGGAATCTGTTAGAAACATTCTTATTAGTATTTGTTTTTTAAGAATTCTGCCACTCTCTGGCTGTCCAGTATTCCCCATGAGTGAGATTGTCTTTTTTTTTTTTTCCTTTTTTTCCTTCTTTTTTTTTCTTTCCTAATTGTTATTTGGCCATGATTAAAGCAAAGATCCTATGGGAGACTGATTCCATCCTGGACAGTAAAGAAAAGAAAATGTTTTCTCACTCCCCTCTGAGCTGGTAAAATCTTGTTTTGAGTAATGTGAAAACCAAAGACCTTTTCATGTTGCCTTCTATATAAATGTTTTAGTTCAAATAAGGAAATGGAGTGGACAAAACCTAAAATTGTTGTCTGTCTTCCAAAACTGAAGAGATGATAGTGGGGTTGCTTGTATGAAAAAGTGCTGTGCAGCTGCCTGACCTGGTCATCACTAGTTATCTCTTTGAATTGCTATGAAAAGACTCTTACACACTTATGGTTCTGCATCTCCAGGAAGGAAAGATTATAAAGATTGCCAAGGAAAATTAGAATGTACCCAAAATCAACTATAGGTGCTGAACTGAATGGCATCTCAAATCAGTGTTTCTCCTTAATGTGTGGGTGTAGTTTTAGACAACATTTAGACAAAATGAGGAACAGCTGATTCCTACTTTACCTACATAAAGACAAGCATTTTCTTTTGGGAACTGCTGATGCCACCTTTCAGTGGTCAGAGTGGGTTGAAACTAGAGTAGAAAAGTACATCCAGTTCCAATAGCATCCACTGTAGAAGTAGGGTCAGTAGGAAGTGTTACGATCTGCACGCTGCTGCTTAGAGATAAAGTTGATTTACCTTTCTATCCTCTTCCCAAGGACTAACCAACAGCACTCTCATTTCAAACTTGAGTGAGAACTGACAGCAACACATCATGGCTGTGATACTCATTTATGAGGAGATGGTCTGGAAGCAACTGCCTTCATCTCTACCTATCTTCTTCCAGCTGGAAGTGAGAGCAGCCAGATAATTAGATCTGCAGTGGATTATAACTGATAGTGTTATAAGACATTGCACTGCAGGAGGCTTCAGTAGTCATTAAAGCAGCATGTGCTGTCCTGGCAGTTGTTCTGCCATCATCAACAATCATATATATGTCCATTTCTGTATCCATATCTATACCTGCCTGCAATGACAGTCATTAGCTCCTAGTATACATTAATCTGAGCAGATATAGGACATACACTTGGTTGTTACAGTGGCATGTTCTGTCCGAATGTTTTTTGCTCTACTTGACTGCTGTCAGATGCTGCAAACTATTACTTTGTCCTTGAGGTGAAAGGGAGGTATGGAGGAAGGGCACCTGGTAGTACGCATGTAAGTATTGCAAGGGGAAAAGAATTCACAAAAATCTAAATGCAGGTTTCATGGTTCAGAGGTTAGCTCAGATTGCAAGGTTACTATACAAACCCAGATAATTTTTATTTTATTAGGTGTTAGAAAGGTATTTCCTTTATCCATTATAATCTGTGTGCTCTAGGGGCTGTACAAAATAGTGGGCCTAACTATACAGTCAGTAATTCCTAAGAATTCTATTTTGCACAAGATTATTAAGTAAATAATGTTGGAAAATGTGTAGCAGAAATGCAGCAGTGGTCTAAGAGAAAAAATACTGAATCTTCATACAAATATTTAAATTATCAATCAAATCTTGCCAGAATTTTAAGTAAATGGATTTTCATATTTTGTGCATTCAAAGGTACAAGTATCTATTGTTTTTTTCTTGAACATTTATGTTTAAGAAGGAGAATATTCTTATACTCATGAGAATGTGTGAAAGTGTCATTTGGATCGTAATAGTACGCCAAGAAAAACGCTGATATCTGATAGCTTGCTTTTAATGTTGAACATTCTTTGGAAAAGTTGTATACATCAGTAGATCTGGAATATAAATGTGTCAGCACATTGCTGTGAAAATGTTATAGCTCTCAAAAATAATTGGGACAGACTAAATCTTTAAATTCAGACCAAGGACTTTTTGAATTAGGAAAATGCAAGAAGTGGTATAGGTAAAGTAGTGGAATGCCTCTTTCACTGGGGAGTTGCTAGCGCTTCAGAGGAACTTGGCCAAATTTGACTGAAGTCTTAGCACTGAGTCAGAGAATGAAAATGAAGTAACTTTGTCTGGCATCTTGTACTACTGAAATGTTCCTTCTCTGAAAATACACCTTCTGAAGGTCTCTCATTGCTAGAGAAGGTGCTTAGGTTAGGTTGAACTTTTCCTGTCTGTAATTTTAATATCACATATTAAATAACATACTGATCTGACAACCATAGGATTTAGTTTTATCTAGTGAGGAGGCCTTGGTCTTTACATGTGAGGTCAGGAGTGATCAACATCAATTCACCAAGTGGAACTCATGCTTTACCAATCTGATAGCCTTTTACGATGGCATAACTGGATAGATTGATGAGGGGAGGACAGTGGATGTGGTCTGCCTTGACTTCAACAGGGCTTTCAACACTGTCTCCCATGACATCCTCACAGCCAAATTTAAATGTGGGTTGGATGATTGGATAGTGAGGTGGATTGGAAATTGGCATCCTGGTGTGCATTAGTAGTGTGGCCAGTAGGTCGAGGGAGGTTATCCTCCCTGTCTGCTCTGCCCTGGTGACTCCATGTCTGGAATACTGCATCCAACTCTGGGCTCCCCAGTTCAAGGAGGACAAGGAGAGAGTCCAGCATAGAGTCACTAAGATGTTGAGGGGACTGGAGCATCTCCCTTATGAGGAAAGGCTAAGAGAGCTGGGTCTGTTCAGCCTGGAGAAGAAGAGACTTAGTGGGGATTTCATTAATGCTTATAAATATCTAAAGGGTGGGTGTCAGGAGGATGGGATGTGCCCAGTGACACGACAAAGAGCAATGGTCATATACTAGTACACAGGAGGTTCAACTTAAGAAAAAACTTCTTTACTGTGAGGGTGACCGAGCACTGGACCAGGCTGCCCAGAGAGGTTGTGGAATCTCCTTCTCTGATGACATTCAAAACACGGCTGGACATGTTCCTGTGTGATCTGAGATGATATCTAGGTGATCTTGCTCTGGCAGAGGAGTTGAACTAAATGGTCTTCAGAGGCCCCTTCCAACACCTAACATTCTGTGAGCTTCAAGGAGATTTGATAGACAACGCATACAGAATGGGCAAATGAAAATAGTTTTGTAAATCTTTACTTTTTAGATGTTCAACATGTTTTGGTTTTTTGTTTTGTTTTTGTTTTTTTTTCCCTAGGTGTTTCTGAGTGCATCATCATGGGAATTCCGATGAATATTGGAACAGGACTCTTTAAACTGTTGCACAAAGCAGACAAAGAATCAACCCCTCCTAGAAGGCCTCTAATATTTGATAATAATGAATTTCATATTCCCATTGTTACATAGCACTTGGACATAATACACTATAGCAAAACAAGAAATAGCAAGGCATCATTTAAGTTAGGAAACATGCATTATCACTTCTGTGTGTCTCAATAACTGTGAATTGCAAAGTGAAATACTATAAAAAAAGAACTGTGTGGGGTTTTTTTTACCAGCTGTTAGTACAGACCTGGAAAGGGTCAGCTTCTCTGCACCAGAGAGTGGAAATAAATTTCAAGTGGATTTTGGCTGACTTTTTCATGTGCTAGAAGTACATCTTTGTGTTAATATTAATGTTTGGAAGTTGTTACTAACTTAGTATTAGACGTGTTTTCAGATTTGATTTAAAAAATAAAAGAAAACAAAAACAAAACAAAGTGCAAGAGTTCTATGAACTTGTCCATTTGGAAATAGCCTTTCAACAGGAGCTGTAGAGGTCGGTCTAGCTCTTAAGAAGAAAGAGTTCAGAAAGCTAGAACTGAGCCGGATTCATTCATGCTGAAATAAAATCTAAAGATTGCTGTTAAATGTTTGAAATATTTAATCTTTGCTTGAATTTATTATTTTTTCATTTTCCCAAGTTATTATCCAGTAAATAGTTTTCTTCCCCAGGATTCTTCTTTGGGGTGTACCTACAAGAATATACAGATTGTAAAGCTGTTACTAAATTCTGAGGAAAACTGTTACAAGACTATATAAGTTTTTCATATTATAGCAGCTGTTATACTGCTGGAATCTATAATTTACAGCAGTCTTAGTTTTGGGAAAGTTTCATAATTGAGCAAGGTCATCTGAACAACCTAGTTTAAGATATAAAGTAGAAATAGAAAGGAAGCTGCTTTCATGCACGGATGAGAAATAATTTGAAAGTATTTTAATCTTTAGCCCACTAGAACAGTTCAAAATGAATACACATTTTTAAATTATTTCAGTGTAGCATGTTTAAATTTACTCCGGTGCTATGGAGAGAAAGTATCTTAATGTTTTCCTGCCAGCGGTGTTTGGATATTCAGTGTGCTCATAACACGGGTCAAGGTTGGAGAGAAACAAAATAGAGAAAAAAGCTGAAGTTGTGCACTAGAGAAGTAAAAGCAGGCTGCTGAATGATCTAGCGCCTGAAATGAATGAGTTTGTGCTGCAGTTTGTCTTAATGTAGCAACCAAAAGAAATGTGTAAGGCTGCATTCAGAAAATGTAAATCTGTTGGTTTAACTCTTAAGGGACTACTGTGTTTATTTTTTAAATCATCCTACATGCAGAGCAGATCTGATGTGAAATTCAATATAGCTATACCCAAATTATTGTTTATTTTCAAGGTGATACTAAGATACTCTGCCTAGATTTTGGCAGGGTAAAGATTGAGAATGTAATGCATTTAGTATCTGCTCTAAAAGCCATATATATTTTGCTATATCTCTTTTAACAATAGAAATTTCAGAATGAATTTAAATTTTCTTTGTGATCTCAGTGAGATTGCCACTTACAGATTTGTCTGTATAGAAGTCTAGCTCTATTTCTTATTAAAGATCTACGTATGAGACAGGTAGGGGCTAAATGGAGAGAAAGCCCATAAACCTTTCTTGTGGATAAGTACTTCATTTTATCGTAGGAAATTCTACTCCAAGTGCTTGGTATTTTTGTAAATAAACATTCTTCTGAAGGTGTAAATGAGTGGAGTTTGTATTGGAATGAGTAAGTACCTTTTTTTTTTCTTTTGTAAATAGAGTGAAATGCGGCTATTTAAATGGTTTTACTCTCTTGTATGTGTTAAAATTATTCAGTAAATTATGTCTGTTATCATTGTCTTTAATACACCAATAAAAAGGCAGATATGAAAAATGTAAACTTTGTGTTTGTTTATTATTGCATTATATTTGTGCATAATTAATTTATGGATGACCTCACCTCCACCTCCCTCATTAGCTTAGTTAAGATAGTTGAGAATTATTTGGCTTAAATCTCGGGTATTTACACTCTAAATGAATATGTAATATAAAACCTATCTTGCATAAAGTAAACATAAAAACATCTTGTTCTCCAAGCAGGGCTTGTGCTTCCTAAGTATTTCAGCCGAAAATAGATTGTTTACAAGAGCACTCTCAATTGGTAATTATTGTTTGTGCTTTCTGTACAGTCAGTAAATGAATTAGCTGTTGGGATTTCACTCATAAACTGCTTTTTTTAACAGTCAGTGTTAATGGTCAAAGAAATGGAACTTTGGAGTATTGCTTAAAATTTGCAGGTTTCAGTTTTTAAAGTAAATACAATTTTGCACATTTTCCTCTATTTTTTAGTTAATGTGCTGATTGAAATTAAGTACTAAGGTTAATGTAAATTTTCAATAAACAATTTTGTTTCAGAAAAATTAGTAGATTTCTAGATAACTAGCAGAAGCCTTAGAACAGAATATCCCAGACAGCCAACATGTCTTTGCGTGGAAAAGCATCACAGATTTATTTATGATATCTCAGAATTCTTTGTGCACTTCCAGTACAGTAAAAACACTTGGGAAGTTAATGCTAGTGTCTCTAGCTGTTAGGCTATAGGATCACTTAGGTATTATCCTTCAGATTTGATCACCAGATGCCCTTCAAATTTTGAACATGCTCCTGTGGAACACAGGCATTGAGTGCACAATAGCAGAGCTGCTGGAGAGTCTGAAGGATGGACTGCACAGCCAGGGGTGCAGCAGGCAGGCAGCAAGGCCCACTGCAAGTGGGTGGCCCGAGATGGGAAACCTGATGAGTATCAGTGCTGCTGATGGCATGTTTTAAGAAAGTAAGAATTGGCTTCTAAAACCAATTGGTTAACTATGAGTATCCATATCCTGGTTTCTAATTTTGTCCATATTTTTAATGTTTTAAAACAAATGTAAACTTTCCCTTAATTGTTAGGCTTAGAAACTCCTGGATAAGTCATTCTTTATAAACCGATCCTTGATTTTTCTTTTTTTTTAATTCTCCTCTTCTCCTTCCCTCCCCCTCAGGTCTACTGAAACTACTACTTTACTGTGTGACTTGCACTAAAACTTCAAAAGCTTTTTGTCTTAATGAAATGACAAAGCAGATACAATGTTAATTTGTATTCTTTCAAGATCAGTAGTTCTGGATTTTGTGTAGTTCATTAAAAAAAATCCTTCCATGTCTCCTTTTTTTTCTACAGTAGGAATAGCTGAATAGTTACTTCTAAAAATACTTCAGTATTTTTACATGGAGCTTCTGTGTATCTCTCTCTTCAGTGATGGGACAGAGTAGAAGTGAAGGAGGAGAGGACAGTGGAGAAGGTAACTAAAGCTCTGGTTCCTGAGACAATTGTAGGAGGGTTAGGTATTTGCTGTGAAATACATTTGTGTGCAGACTGCACGGATGGCGCGATACAGCTAAGAACATTCAGGAGAGGCAAGCACATGTCCAGGGGCTGCAGCTGCCTGCTGTGGAGCTGGGCAGGGCTGCCTGAATGAGGTGTGCAGCTGGAGCATTTTTGCAAGCCTGTGTAACATTGTTCTACAGTAGTGTGTATATGTATGTAGCCTACGTAATTTTGACAGAAGACTAGATGTAGACCTAACAGGGTTATAATTTTTACATATGATGTTTACAGTAATTAGCAATCTGTGACTGCTTAACCTATATCCTTTGGTAAATTACTGTTCTCTCCCCATAGTATTTGTATTTGATGGGAAAAGTACTTAAGGTGGAAGAAGTACGTAGGCAAACATTCAGTTAAAATTAATTAGTCAACTAATATATAAGCAGGGAGTGATTTTTTTTTAATGGCATTTCATTAAAAAAACCCAAAAAGTAATGAAGTACTTTCTTAGTATGTTTATCAGGAAATTACTTTACACATGTCTCTTATCTGCAAGGAGATAAGAAAAAGGAAGCACGTGCTAAATAGGTTTCCTGTCGTGAATATGGGAAGCTGGGAATGAATCTAGAACTCTGATACTTGAAGAAATTTAGTTTAGAGATTTATTCCTTTTTTGCTTTATCTATGCTTAAAAAAAAAGGCAAGCAAATGAATGCTATATTTTATAAACTAACTACAAGGATAAAATTCGGTTCCTTCAGACAAATACTCCTTGATGTCTCACTATTTGCCATTGTTTCAGTATAAGCTGAAAGAACCACTGCAACAGGTAGCTCTTCAGTTTTGTATCACTGTGCTTGCTGACTGGAATGGCTTAGAAATCCATAGCAAACAGGATAACGATTTTCATAGTAGCCACATATTTGCCTAAATTCTGTGAATATCACTGGTGAATGTTGTATTTTCAAAATGGTTAGCTAAAACTGTATCCAGCCCTAGAAAAGTCTGTCAGTAATTAAGCATGTGGGAAAAACATGAGAAAATAAGATAAGTTGGCCTGTGTTTTTTATATTGTCGAAAACCAGAAAAAACTAAAAGGGATCAAATTAGAAAATGTATGAATATTTTAATGCATAAATACTTGGCGGGTTATTTGGATGTTATTACAGCATTGATATAAAGGCATAGCAAATTTATCATAAGGAATAAATACCAAAGTCTCACAGGACAATCTGAAAGACCGAAATAAAACAAACCTGCCCTATGAATCTTCTATGTCAGTACGTATTAAGAATTAAGGTTGCCTGTAACTGATAAAATGACAATTTTAAAATGTCCCTTCTAATGAAATTAGATCATATAATCATTTTCCACTAGAGAGCAGCACTTTGTTTTGGGAAAAGAGGTATTTGAGTAGCAATTCTTTATTGTTCTATTAAAAATGTTTTTTTGCAATATCGGAGCTGAAATTCAACTATGAGAAGGAAGGTTACCTATTAAAAGCATATACATGAGCAAAAGACTAAGGGAGTTCATTTTCCTAAAAAGGGAAAAACAGAGTCCAGACAGCTTTTTCAGGAATTAGTAAGGCCTTACATATCATTTGCCTCATTTGGCTTTAAACAAAAAACTAACAAACAAACAAACAAAGCAGTACTTTAGTAGATGGCTGTATTCATTCCCAAAGGACCATAGCGAGTGTCTCCTGTAGAGCGGGAGAGCAGCATATCTAT